TTGCTGACAGTACTGCTCTTAGAGGGCTCATCAGGCCCCAGCTGCCTTCATGGCCCAGAGGGAAAGAAGGCAAACCTGCATCCACGAGGTACAAGGGCCAAGCCAGGGAGGGGATGGGAGAAGAGCACCTTGCCCTTTTTGCCAACATCCCCAGCCCTATGGTCCCTGGCAGAGAAACAGCCCTTAGTAAATCCAGCGCTGAATGGAATGAACCTGGTCTAGGTTCAAATCACCTCTTAGTCCTATGTGCCCTTGAACAACTCAGTTCACCTCTCTGAACCTCAGTTGTCCCATCAGCAAAGATAATAACTCCAGACTGTATGTAATTGTTTCAAAGAATACAAAGAGATAATGGATATGAACCCACTCACTGAGCTTCCGAGCACTTGGAAGATGCAGGGCATGGCAGATTAGAAGAAGCCTCCTGTGCTAGTTTTCAAAAATAGCAAAAGAACCAACTTTCTCATTAACATTCTCATATTCAGTAAAGTCAGTAATCTAAGTTCCAAGATGATCATTTCTCCATGAAACTTAGCAAAGTTATTTTCACTCTGTGAAAAAACCACATATACCCTTAAGTGCTATTACTTTTCCCAATTTGTTTTTCATGAAAAAAAAAATTATTCACCAATCAAATTAAACCAGAAATCTCAGCTGTCCCGCACAATGTTCGACACCCTGGGGTGTTGGGCCGGGAAGGCAATGGTGAGCTGCTCCTTATCTGAATTTGGTGGGAGCATGAGGTGATGCTGATTGCCCAAGACAGCAGTCTTTTGGAGTGAGGACTCAGCTGGGATGCCTTGGACTTTCTGACATGCTGCTGATGCCTGGGGATGAGAAAAAACTTGGGGACAGGTGAAAACAGGAAAAGAGAGAGATTTTGGATAGACCGTATCTACCTCAGCATGTATCTCAAAAGGATAACACACCAACCAACACCCTGCACCTGGACGACAGGTTGTGTGGGTGATTTCTACTCTATTCAGTGGCCCGTGGTGATTTCTACCTCTGTTGGCAGCAATCTTCCTCACTGAACAGCATCATGCAGCTCACCAAGCACCTGCCCTCTTCCTGAGCTGTCAGAACAAGTACCTATGCCACCACAGACTTGGACTTCCCCAGGGGAATCTATACTGCTTGCCTCTCAGAGCCAAGTGGAATGAGTGTCTGCAGGTGCCCAGAGAGAGGGACCAGAATTGCTTGTGTGGGTCTTTCCAACTTCATTTTATATAGGCACCTTGGCTGACTGCAGCTCAATTTTGTAAAACTGAATTGATTTTGCAAAGATTTAGGCCCAGAGAAGGCACATCTGGCAAGTGGCTGTGAGATCCGAACAGAGAAAAAGGGCAGATACTGAGATATCTTAACATCTACCGTAGTATTCTACATAGAGTATTCTATGGTAGAGACAAAAATGACCCAAGGCAACGTGGACCAGAGCCAGAGTTTAGTGCTCCCTGATGGGGGTCACTGAGTTCACCGGGGTCAAGAGAGTCAGTGTCAGCTTTCATCTTGGGACAGAAGGGAAGTTCTGTGTGAGTGTGGAAAATGAAAGCTCTGCAGAAGAGATCTGCTTGGTGTTAGACCTGAACTTACACCGAGTGACTTGAAGCTGGGTTGTTGCCAAAATTTCTTTATTACGAACATTCCAAATTGCCATCCACTATTTTAGGAGTTTCACTACATACTACACTGATAAAGGGAGCATATGATTGCTTAGATGAGTGATCTCAACCCTGGCTTTTTAAAATTATTGCCAGAGGGCACGTGAGTCAAAGAGCGCAGACTCCAATAGAGCGTGGTCACACCACAATTCTTTTTTCTCCATTTCTCCATCCTGACAGGATTTGGGGCATGCATACACACACATCCAGTGTGTTTTTCAAGCTGCCAGGGCCAAGATTCACACTGTGGTTGGCCATGTAGGATCCAGCTCCCTATGTACAGGGCTTAACCACTTTGCCACAGGGTCAGCACAACCTTGGCTTTTCTTTGGAGTCATTAGAAAATATGATTTTTGAGCCTCACTCCAGACCAAATGAGTCAGAATTTGTGGGTGAGGGATCCAAAGATGTGCCATTTTTAAAGGCTTTCTAGTCAATTCTAATGTGCAGCTGTGATTGAGAAACCCTGACTTGGGCTGAAATGGGAGCCAGAGAAAGAGCTATGGTTGACAGCTTCCAGGGCATACCCTCAGACAAAGAAAGGCTCTTCATGCTCAGGCTTGTGTGGTGCTGGCCCAGAAAGAATCAAGGCAACAGAGAACATGTTGGGTTTATCACCGTTTGGCAAGGATGAGTTTAACCTGTGACCTACCAGCCAGAATCCAGGCTTTACAGACCCTAAAATATAACCAGGGCTAGACAAGCTGGTGGATGAATAATACATTGAGTTGTGTGTTTAGCTAAGTATCAAAGATTCACAGAACACAAACCCACTCGAGGGAGCTCAAGATTAGGAAGGTTTGTGGTAAAGACAAAAATGGTCACTTCAAGGCTTCCAGGAATCTGGATTCCCAGAGCCAGGAACCAGACACTCGAAGGCTGAGGTCACTCCCTCCATCTCTCAGTCATTCAATCTTCATCTCTGTATCTCTGCTTCATTCCTCTACTGCACTGATTTCCTATGGTTGTCCATTTCAGACGGAGTCCACCACAAATATGTTCCAGCCCTAACTTATTACTCTCCTTCAGAGTCTGGGTCACTGACCATTGTTATGGTGTCTCTTAGTTCAGATTTGCCGACAAGAGGAATCTGGTCTTTAGCCCAGCAAAGGACAGCTGGTCTTGTCTAACCTTCAGGGAGGTGTCAGTTTCCTCCCTTAAGCTGGGCTGGGAGCAGAAAGTGTCATGTAACTCACATGCTGGACATTCTGAGACCACCAGAAGGGCAAGCACTTGTGGAAGAGCTCTGGGCAAGGCAGTCAATGAAGTCCAACTATTATCTACCCATGAACAGTGGACCACATGCCTTTTCTTTCATGCCCTCTGCCCCCCAACCCCCAGAGATGGGTGGGCACAGGGGATATAAGGTGGAGTTTGAAAGACTGTGCCTTTCTGGTCTCAGACCTAGTGTAGCATCTGAGAGCAGTAACCAGAGATTGGCATGACCCATAGAAAGTCCACAAACCCTCAGTCAGCGCTGTGCATTAGTCTATAAGGATTGTCTGGAGGCCACTGAGAAGTCCATTCTTGGCAATGATGAAAGTCAAGAGATCCTGTGGTAGGTTTGACTTTAACCCATACTTCCTGCTGCATTGTGGCATGTAAAAGTAGAACATATTTAGACATTCAGAAGGTTCTCCTCCCCTTGGGTCTTTATCTGATTGTTTGGAAAATTTGCTGTGAGCATGCTATTACAGAGGTGTGACAGTTCACGTGACAGCTCTGAAATAACATTCTTGGCTCTTGGATAACAATCTTGTACTGAAACACATATGGCTTTTTTCAGAAACTTAGAACCTCAGCCAAATTTTGGGTCCATGAAAATGGTGCTGTGTGAATTTTTAAAATTCCATAAATGGGGAAGTTGTGTGTAAATTCATTTTATGGTCAAACATCAGCTACTGCAGCAAAGAACTAACTGTCCATGCCCCTTTTCCTCAAGTTCAGCTGCATACAGTCACGAGGACAGCAGTATTTGTGCTTGGGGGTCATCTTTGGAGAGCAGCCCAAGGTAAGCCCATCCCCCCAGCCTGTGAACAATCTGAGCATCTTTTCTCTCCCTTTGGGTCCCTGGGGCTGGAGGCAAAGTGAAACCAGGAAGGGAAGGAGGTGCATGGGGAAAAGTGGGGGGCAGGGGGCACACCAATAACAAAGGATGTCTCTTTTCACTTCGCTCAGACCATGTGGTCTTTAAAAACCATGTCTGTGGCCTCAGTACAATGCCATTTATTTTAGTCTTAGATGGTATCAACTATTTCAGCTTGCCCAAGCACAGCTACAGAGATCCTGGCTGATTAAAAAGAAGTCTAATTCTTATATTTTAACGACAAAACAAAACACCTTTAAACCAAAAGGATGATTTATCAGGGCTGAAAATAAAACTCCTGCTTACTAAAGTCTGGTGCAGCTGAGTTCTCACTATTTTCGTACAGTAATTTGTTTTATAGGGTACTAATTAACAGGGCAAAGTCTGTTGCCAGGAAAGCAAATCACATTTTGCTGTTTTCTTCTTTTCTAACAAGACACAGACCTGGTCTTTAATTACAGAGCAAGTTTCAAGGGCACTATCAGCTACCGAAATCAGGGGACGCTGGGCAGAGAGGAGCGTGGTGAGGCCTTCTGCACGGGGTTCAGGAAAGATCATGGAAGAGGGATTGTACAGTGACCTCTGAAAGAAGAGGTCGTTTCCTCAATGTCCCACGTGTCCCCTTTTCATTCTTTTCTCTGTCCCCCACAATGTGGTGCTAGCACACAGGTGCTACTCACCTGGCACATGCCATAAACACCCTTTCAAAAAGCACATTTCTTCCCCTATTTCTTTCTTTTCCTTGAGCATCACTACTTTGTAACTCATGACCTCTCTCATCAGACCCTACTGCCTAGCCTCCCCTTTCTCCAGGGCTGCTTCTACCGGGCCCCTCAGCGGTCTGTGTCCTAGGCTTGGCTACCCACCGGCAGGTGTCACTTGCCCCTTGCCCTCCCTTCCCAGCTCACCCTCTCCGCCTGGCCTCAGGGTCTTCTTCACTCCATTCTCCCTCTCCTTCTCTCTCCCCCATCCCTTTCCTGGAGGTTCTGGTCTGAAGGTGGCTGTTCTGCTATCTTCTCCCTCCTAGACCCTCTGAGACGTCTTTGGGGAACAGGATGAGGCGGGGCAACGGGGTATAGGGTGGGCAGGTGAGGAAAGTGAGCACCGGGCTCGCTCCCGGGAGCGTGGAGCCTGACGTCACCACGCCCTGCCTGTCGATCTCCAGCAGGCTCGGAGCTCGCGGCAGCCTTTTCTGCTGCTGACTGTCTCTCACTCGTGGCAGCGCCGGCACAGCGACAGGCGACCCGTGCTCGCCTCCTCGCCGGCCCGGCCACCTCCTGCAGCAGCTGCTCTGTCCGTGAGGGGAGCGCAGCCCGGCGCCCCGCCACGGCGCCTATGACCAGAGACTTCTGAAGCCCTGACTGTCCAGGTGAGCGGTCCCTAAGCCAGAGAAAGGGACCAAGGTTGAAACCACGCACACACTTGCACCGTAGTTTCTTTCTCCCAAACTCCCTTCCTAGGGATCTCTGGGTTTCAGGTAGCTCTGGGCACCGCGATCGCAGCAACTTGTTCAGCACCGCGGACAGCGACTCCGCTGCCCCGCTCTAGGGAACGCCTAGACTAAGCCCGCCACAATCCCAGCTGGACACTTTCAGGCTGATACTCCGAAATCGGTGTATTCAGAGCGTGTGCAAACACAGACACGCCCACAGAATTGGTCTGTGTGCATGTGAGTGCGTGTTACACGAGTGTATATCTGTGCAAAAACAGAAGTCTCTGAGGGCACTCAGTGCATTTCGCTCAACAGGTATTTATTTATTGTGGGTTCGCACTTAGCCTCCTCTTGCCCCGTTCTGCTCTGGGATCCCAGGCTGTGAGGGACAATTGAGTGGGTCAGTTTGAACGGGGCGCCTGCGCTCGGGGCAGTTCCCCAGCAGCCTGACCCGCACTCCTGACGCCCGCTTTCCCTCCCTATGCAGGGTGCAGCTTCCGGCGATGAATTCCAGCGCCGCCTCTCTCAATGAGTCCCAGGTGGTAGCAGTGGCGGCCGAGGGAGCGGCGGTGGCTGCAGTGGCAGGGGCGCGGGACACTGGAGAGTGGGGGCCCCCTGCAGCTGCGGCGGCGCTAGGAGGCGGCGGCGGAGCTAACGGATCGCTGGAGCTGTCGTCGCAGTTGAGTGTGGGGCCACCGGGACTGCTATTGTCAGCCGTGAATCCATGGGACGTGCTGCTGTGCGTGTCAGGGACGGTAATCGCGGGCGAGAATGCGTTGGTGGTGGCGCTCATCGCATCGACCCCGGCGCTGCGCACGCCCATGTTCGTGCTGGTGGGCAGCTTGGCCACCGCGGACCTGCTGGCGGGCTGCGGCCTCATCCTGCACTTCGTGTTCCAGTACGTGGTGCCCTCGGAGACCGTAAGCCTGCTCACCGTCGGCTTCCTCGTGGCCTCTTTTGCCGCCTCAGTCAGCAGCCTGCTGGCCATCACGGTGGACCGCTACCTGTCCCTCTACAATGCACTCACCTATTACTCGCGCCGGACCCTGTTGGGCGTGCACCTCCTGCTTGCAGCCACCTGGACCGTGTCCTTAGGCCTCGGGCTGCTGCCAGTGCTGGGTTGGAACTGCCTGGCAGAGCCGGCCGCCTGCAGCGTGGTGCGTCCCCTGACACGCAGCCACGTGGCGCTGCTGTCCTCCGCCTTCTTCGCGGTCTTTGGCGTCATGCTGCACCTGTACGTGCGCATCTGCCAGGTGGTCTGGCGCCATGCACACCAGATCGCTCTCCAGCAGCATTGCCTGGCGCCGCCCCACCTCGCCGCCACCAGAAAGGGCGTGGGCACGCTGGCCGTGGTGCTGGGCACTTTCGGCGCCAGCTGGCTACCCTTCGCTATCTATTGTGTGGTGGGCAGCCACGAGGACCCGGCCATCTACACCTATGCCACCCTGCTGCCTGCAACCTACAACTCCATGATCAATCCCATCATCTATGCCTTCCGCAACCAGGAGATACAGCGCGCTCTGTGGCTCCTGTTCTGTGGCTGTTTCCAGTCCAAAGTGCCCTTCCGCTCCAGGTCCCCCAGTGAGGTCTGAAGGGCTCCCTCTGCTCCTTCACCAACACCATGGCCCCAGCAAGCCAGCCTTTGGTGAGCGACTCGGTGCCTGCTAATGAACTCTGAGATCCCAACTGTGTGACTCTGACTTTGGAAAGAAAGAGGGAAGGACGGTGAACGCAGCAAACTCACACGGACAAAGAGGCTTGTTGGCACTTTACATATACAGTGTATACACATGTACATATATATACAAATATTTGTATATGATATCTGGAGGTATTCAGGATGTGGAGCTTCCTGTTCTGTGAAAAACTAACCAAAAGATGTGTTTGTATACTCAAATTGTACATCACATTTGTCAAGCAAAGACATTCCAATCCGGCTTAATTATAGCACTTTATTTTTAGCTGCTGAACTGCCAAAACAGTGTTGCCATTTTCAAGGGCAGGGGAAAGGGAGTAAAAGGTGTATTTTTGTTGTATGTGATAGAATATTTTGCTGCACATGCATCAACAAATTACAACATATTTTGTACACGAATAAACACATTATAAAAATGTCACTTGTATATGTGGCTGAGTATAGAATTACTATCTGAGAGCTGAACGAAGAAGGTGCATTTACTTTAAAAGTTTATTATGTATCTTCTCCCTCCTGGGAATATCTTAATGTAAAATATTATAAGCATATGCATATTGGTCCTAAATTTTCATTGAAATACCTAGCCCAGGTCATAGTGGTTTGGGAGCCTGAGGGGAGCAATCTGCTCATATAACAGTACTCACAGGACACTGAAGGGCTCTTGGTGTTATTAGTGCTCGGTATCTGCTCCCTTGGTTACTGGGTTTGGAAGACAAGTTTCAGAGTATGTCTGAAACTGTTCCGAACTTAGTTTCTTATTGCTGACCAGCTCCTGAAGCAAAATTCACAGCCTTATAGGATGAATAAGTTCTTCCAAACAGGATTCCAAGAGCTATACCTCCTTCCTTGGTGAGGTTACTAAATGTCTGTCCAGTATCCCCTTTGGAGGCAATCTCCTCTTCCAAACAGGGCACTAAAATCCTCAAGAACCAAACGCTCCCCTCCCACTGATGGCAGCCCTTTGCCATTATTATGTAGTGGGCAGCTACCAGGACCCTGCTGTGAGTGGCAAGTCCCCTTCTCCCTGTTTACAGGATGACCTGAGGACAAATAAGAGAACACGCAGGGGCATTCTCTGAGGAAATAATGTGCACAAGCTCGAGTGGTTGCTGCTCATAGGCCCTGGGGAAATGCTCACAAGCAAAATTGCCCAGACATTCCACAAATATTTACTGAGTGCTTACTATATGCTAGGCACAAATGTGGGACTGGGAATATGGAAGTAAACAAAACAGGCCACAAGTCTCTGTGCTTATAGTGTTATATTTGTGGGGGGATGACTTACAAGCCAACAAACGAATATGCAATGTCATGTGAGGATAAATGCTAAGAAGGAAACAAAGCAGAGTGAGGGGTGGCATGCAGTTGAGGGTGTTCCATGGATTAGGATGGCCAGGAAAGAGACCTCTGAAGAGGTAACATTGAGGAGGGAAGGAAGGGTGTGAGACCTATGAGTATGACATGTGATATGTGGGGAGAGAGCTTTCCAGGCAGAAGGAGCGGCTAGTGCAAAGGCTTCCAGGTGGGAGGATGCCTGGCAAGTTGAAGGAACAGCAAACATAAGCGAGGTATGGAAATAATTTGGAGAGGGAGCTGGGGCTGGGTCATTTCCCACTTTACAGGCCACTTTAGGAACTGAGTGATAATGGAAGTGACATGATCTGATTTAGAGTGTTAAAGAATCACTCTGGCTGTTCTACTGAAAATGATCCTTAGGAGAGTCAGAGTAGAGGCAGGAGCGAGGGGTCTATAACCATAGCTCTGTGAGAAATGACAGTGGCCTGCAGCACCGCGGCAGTACTGGAGATGGTGAGAAGTGGTTGGGTTCCGGAAACAGGTTGAAGGATGGACTGGGTGTGGGGATTGAGAGAAAAACAGTCAGTGTCTTTGAGGATTTTGTCACAGTAAGTTCAGGGGCTTTTTTTTTTTTTTAAGATTTGTTTATTTTTTATTTTATTTCTTAGTATTATTATTCAATTTTAACCAGAGAGACAGAAAGAAAGGGGGAGTGAGAAAGCAAATTACCAGGTTCACGGCTTGAACCGTGGTCAGCCATGTGGGAGTCCAGCTCCTCAACCACCACACCACCTGCTGGCTCCAATACAGAGGCTTTTAATGAGCAAGGGAAAATCTATATGAGGAGGAGGACAGATAGGAAGATACTGTGATTAATTGTATATATCAACTTGGTTAGGCTAAGAGGTCCCCAATATCTCGTCAAATATTATTCTGAACGTTTCTGTGATGTTGCTTTGGGTTAAGATTAGCATTTAAATTGATGGGCTCTGAATTAAACAGATTACCTTCGATGATGTGGGTGGTCCCATCTAATCACAAATCACCTGAAGCCCTGAATAGAACCAAAAAAAAAAAAATGGTCTCCCCCAAACAAGAGAGAATTCTCCAGAGGACAGCTTTCCAACGTCAAGTGCAACCTTGACTTAGCCTGGTTCTACAACCGATGGCCTAGACAATGAAGCTTCAGCACTGACTCTCCCGCTCTCCAGACAGCTAGCCCACCATTTTGGACTTGCCAGCCCCCGTCATCATCATCATAATAATCATAAATCGTGGGGACCAATTCCTTATCATAAATTTATGCACACACACACACACCCTGCTGGTTCTGTTTCTCTGGAGATCCCTAACTTATACAGTATTGGTGGAGGATTTTAAAGGTTAGTTTTAGACACCTCAACCTTATGTGAGCAGTTTACTTGCTTTTTCACAAATCCTTCTATAGCACTAATGGTATGCCAGACATTGCTGTGAGCACTTGACAAATACTAGCTCATTTAATCACCATCACAGTTCTGAACTGGTCAGGTCCCAGCAAGAAACAAATGGCACACTCTAACCAGGTGATTGTGGAATGCTTAATGACTTCTGGAAGTCTGAGCACATTTAAAGGGAACCAAGCGAGGGTGAAGCCCCCCCCACACACACACACACATACCCAGAACTCACACCAGCAGGGCTGCCAGAAGAGGACAGAGGAGAGAACAATTACTAGAACCAGGAGAGAGGGCTGTATTGGTCAGCCGCCCCTCAGGAGGGTGCCCTTTAGTACAGGAAGGCAGCCATTGCCCACCTGTGGCCTGACTGGGAGAAGAAACTACTGGAACGCCCTGCATCCAACCCCCTGGTGATACTGCCCCTGAACTAGACTCCGTGAGAAGCCAGAGAGCAAGACGACACTTCGATGCCTTCCACACCTGTCAACTTCCCTGGGCACGGGGCAGGTTAGAGAAGAGTGAGAAGTGAACCTGCAAGTGTAAACTATGAGCTGTACTAATATTCTCTCCACTTCCCAGATGAGGAAACAGGCACACAGAGATCAGCCACACCTGTCTGCAGTTCAGGAGAGAGCTCTAACCTGGACACATGAATTTGGGACTTATCAATATATTGGTGGTATTTAAAGCCGCGAGACTGGATGGATCATTTTATAGATTAAAGAAGAGAAGGGGGCCTGGGACTGAGTCCCAGCGTTCTGAAATGTTTAGAAATTGAGAAGACAAGGAAGGGTCTGGCCACAGTGGGACTAGCGAGAAGGAGCCACTGCATGGTACTTGAGGTCACAAGGGAGGCTCAGTTTTGGTTCCCTGTCCAAAGGAAATAAGCCAGGTATGGTGGTACCCAACTGTGGTCCTAGCTAACTGGGAGGCTGTGGCAGGGGTGAGACCTTGTCAAATATACCTCTATCGCTCTGGCGTGCTTTCAATCCCATAAAAACAAATTTTAAGAGAGAGAGAGAGAGAAGGAAGAAAAGCAGATTAAGCGAAGAAGAAAAAGTAGTCAGAGAGGTAGGAGGAAAGTAACAGAGCACAGTGACCCAAAGTAAAGAAGAGAATGAGGGAGAAGTCACTTGACTCAAATATCGCTGAGAGAGAAAGTAAAACAAGAACTTTACAAAAATGACTAAAGATTTTGTAATGTGAATGTCATTGATGAACTTAACAAGAGAAGCTTCAGGAGGGGGAAGCGAGTGCGAAGTAGAAGGCCCAAGCTAAAACACAGGAGCAATCGAGGCCCCAGCAGCTGTGACCTTCTAACATGCAACACACTGCACTTGACAAACGTGTGGTTTTATAGTGGCTAAAAATGTACAGGTGAGATCAGCATCGTTGCGCCTTCATCAAATCAAAATTTTCTAAAGAACTAACCTTTATAGACTCTCCAGCATCATCAGACAGTTTCAGGTCCTACTAGCATCTAGAATGCGTCCGAATGGATTGAAAGACAAAAGCTCTGGTTTGGGACTGGCAGGTGGTGTAGTGGTTGGGGGCTCTGGATTCCTACTTAGCCAACCTCAGTTCGAGTCCCAGACCTGGCGGCTTTCTCTCTCTCTCTCTCTGTCCCTCTCTGGTCAAATTAAAATAAATAAATGGATAATGTTAAACAAAAACAATTCTAAAAAAAATCAAATAAAACTCGGGCTTTCTGTTTTCTCAGATGTGGTGGGGAAAACAAGATAATTTTTATTAGACAAGGAATAAAAAAGTCAATATTGTATATTTCATAATTGCAGAGAAAATTATCTTGCAATTGACATGTTAAGCAAATTCTACAGAATAATAAGACATAAGCTATGAATCTGACTCTAATCCACTTATTCAATTTTAACCAGAGAGACAGAAAGAAAGGGGGAGTGAGAAAGCAAATTACCAGGTTCACGGCTTGAACCGTGGTCAGCCATGTGGGAGTCCAGCTCCTCAACCACCACACCACCTGCTGGCTCCAATACAGAGGCTTTTAATGAGCAAGGGAAAATCTATATGAGGAGGAGGACAGATAGGAAGATACTGTGATTAATTGTATATATCAACTTGGTTAGGCTAAGAGGTCCCCAATATCTCGTCAAATATTATTCTGAACGTTTCTGTGATGTTGCTTTGGGTTAAGATTAGCATTTAAATTGATGGGCTCTGAATTAAACAGATTACCTTCGATGATGTGGGTGGTCCCATCTAATCACAAATCACCTGAAGCCCTGAATAGAACCAAAAAAAAAAAAATGGTCTCCCCCAAACAAGAGAGAATTCTCCAGAGGACAGCTTTCCAACGTCAAGTGCAACCTTGACTTAGCCTGGTTCTACAACCGATGGCCTAGACAATGAAGCTTCAGCACTGACTCTCCCGCTCTCCAGACAGCTAGCCCACCATTTTGGACTTGCCAGCCCCCGTCATCATCATCATAATAATCATAAATCGTGGGGACCAATTCCTTATCATAAATTTATGCACACACACACACACCCTGCTGGTTCTGTTTCTCTGGAGATCCCTAACTTATACAGTATTGGTGGAGGATTTTAAAGGTTAGTTTTAGACACCTCAACCTTATGTGAGCAGTTTACTTGCTTTTTCACAAATCCTTCTATAGCACTAA